GTGTCACAGAGAGCATGTCAGCTTGTGTTGGACACACCACATGAAATCTGAATGCACATATGTGTGTGAGAGAATGGAGCCACAGCAGGGCTCATTCTAGACATTCAGACATGCATTGCTTCATTCTTCCATTCCTTCACTCACTGGGCACCTCTTTCACTGCAGGTACCAGGCTAGGGGCTAACCCCTAACATTTGTAAAGTGCTTTGCAGTTTGCAAAGGGCCTTGTCCACAGTCCTATTGAGACCTTCCATGGCGGCGACCCTGGGCCATGACCCCCAACCCCACTAAAGATCCCTGGCCTCTGAAGGGTAAGGCCAACACTGGAGCCCGTAAACAAGGCAGCTCCTTCCTTCTGCACCCACTTGATTTTGCCGGAGTGTCTAGAAAATTCAGAGATGGACAGTGTGTGAGTGGAGCACTTGATTATTGAATCAGTCCTTTTGCAAATACAGTGAATGAGTCTTGGAGACATTTAGCAGTTTATCGATGGCCACATATCCAGTCAGTGGTGGCAGCCTTAGGACAGTCTCACTGTGAAACCTTGTGGACCATGCGGCATGGGTTAGAGTAGAGTTCTGGGCCCTCAAGTTCTGGCCCTAGGTCTGCCACCCACTGCTGTGTGTCGTTGGGCAAGTCCCTCGACGCCTCCCAGGATGCTGTCTTTGGGGGACCAGATTATTGGACTCCATTAGTGGTCCCAACAGGCCAGTCTCAAAACTAAGTTTTCATTGGTCCATGGTGAAAGAAATAAAAATAAGTTAGAAAATAAGTCTGTACATGGCAAAATAAAGCAGTGGTAGGCCGGGTGCAATGGCTCATGCCTGTAATTCCAACACTCTGGGAGACAGACAGGCAGATTGCTTGAGCCCAGGAATTTGAGACCTGCCTGGGTAACATGGCAAAATCCGGTGGTGTGTGCCTATAATGCCAGCTACTTGGGAAGTTGAGGTGGGAGAATTGCTTGAGCCTGGGAGGTCAAGGCTGCAGTGAGCCGAGACTGCGCCACTGCTGTACCCCAGCCTAAGTGACAGAGTGAGACTGTTTCTCAAACAGAAACAAAAATGAAGCAGTGGTCACCCTGTGTCATTCCCAGCTCCCCTGTTAAAAAAAAAATGTGTTGGTTTGTGGAAGGCTGAAGTGTTGGGTCTCACTGGATAAGATAATGTCAGTGGATACTCAAGCTCTGACGCCCGGGGACTGAGAGCTGAGTGGGGACAGGGAGGCTGAGAGTGGCTGGCTTACCCTCTGGATCAGACAAGAGACCCCGGTTTTTGCCCACCACCCTTCCGTGCCCTAGGGCCTGAAGCCACCAGCCCACCAGCTGGGTTCAGGATTCCCTGTGGGGTGGGGGGTGGTGGCAATGTCCAGGCACTGGGACGTATTTTATTTTCTGCCCCCTTCCCTTTTATTAGGTTGGTGCAAAAGTAATTGAGGCAGGAGGGTCACTTGAGCCCAGGAGTTTAATCCCAGCCTGGGCAACAAAGCAAGACCTCATCTCTACAACAGAGCTTTTGAAAATTAGCTGGGCACAAGGGTGTACATCTGTGGTCCCAGCTACTCGGGAAGCTGAGACAGGAGGATTGCTTGAGCCCAAGGAAGATATGCAGCCTTGGGATAGATGGAGACCCACCCCACCCCTTCCCAGTCAGAGTGTAGACCAACTTGGGGGCACTGACCAGGAGCGCAGACACCTGTTAAGGACAAAGGAGGGGCTGCAGTTCAGGTGCCCCAGGAAGGAGAGGTCAGAGAGGGCTTCCCGGAGGTAGCGGTCTGTCTCCCTGGATTTGGGAGACACGGCCAGGAGCGCAGGCCTGATGAGGTATAACCCAGTCTGTTCAACCAAGGAAGCTGCAGGGGATGGGGCCTGGCTCAAGCCCTGGGTGTCCCTTAGCTGGATGGCTGGGGGCAGGCAAGGCCTGAGGGCGGCTCTGTGGATTCATCCCCAGTCATAGGGTACTGTAACACGCACTGGGGCTAGGCTGGGGACATGGGTTTTGAGCGGGGAAATGGGGCGAGTTTGGCCTGGCTGGGGTTGGGGGAACTGAGAGGAGGGGAATAGGAAGTCCCACCTATCCTTGAATTGAAAAACTTCCTTTTCTTTTCTTTTTTGTTTTTCTTTTTGTTTGAGACAAGGTCTCACTCTGTCACCCAGACTGGAATGCAGTAGCACAATGACAGTTCCCAGTAGCTTCAAACTCTTGGGCTCAAGCAATACTCCTGTCTCGGCTTCCCGAGTAGCTGGGACTGCAGATGTACACCATCATGCCCAGCTAATTTTTAAACATTTTTTGTAGAGATGAGGTTTTGCTTTGTCACCCATGCTGGGCTTAAACTCCTGGGCTCAAGTGAGCCTCCTGCCTCAGCCTCCCAGAGTTCCCAGCCAGCAACCTTTTGGAAGCTGGGAAAGAGAAAGTCGCTCCCCCCGCCCCCTGCGCCCCTGCCCTTCCCCAGCTAGACTCTGCCTTTTTCCGTGGGTCAGGTAGAGTGGCTGGGCAACTGTCTCAGCCTTGTCTGTGAAGAGGTGCAGCAGTGACCCCTCCCTCAGTGAGACAGTAAATGGAGTCCTCCAAGAGTGGGGATAGTGAAGCCTCAGCTTGTAAACAATCACCTCTGGGACTCATGGACCATGAGAGCAGTCATGCTTACAGATAGGGAAACCGAGGCTTAGGGAGGGAGCGGCACTTGCTCAGTGTGCAGGTTTTAGGAAGGAGCCAGGGCAGAACTGTCTCTGGAGTGTGGAGAAGAGCTCCCCTCTAGAGTGTGGCCTGGCACCAAGGCGGCTCCAGCATTCACTGATGTGTACCCTGGGCCTCAGTCTCCTCACCTGTGGAATGGGCTGCTAGCAGAGGTGAAATGAGGCTGTTGTGAAGAAGGGGCCCAGCTCACAGAAGGCACTCACGAATGCCGTTGCCCATCCTGTCTCCCAGCATACTCCAGGCATCGCTTTTTTTGCATCCCCACCTTGCTGTGCCTGACACAGTCATGGAATTCTTGTTGGTTGGTGGGCAGTGTGGGTGCTGGAGTTTCATGGTCAGGCTAGCACGGTGCTGCTTTTCTGGCCCTTGGGGGCTCCCAGACCCATGCCAGATAGATGGCTGGGGAGAGGGGCACTGGAGTGGAGTGACTGGAGCTCAGAGTCGGCTCTCCCAGCTGCCCATCTGCGGGGCTGGCCTAGTTCCTGAACCTAGTGACCTCCCAAGGGCTTGAGCTGTCTCTGTCACTATTGCCCACTGGCTAAGGGCAGTTCAGTCGAGGGCAGGATGTAGAACCTCTTCCTCCTCTCCTGACCATCAGCTGGAAGCATCAGAGGCCTCCCTGGAGACTCTGAGGCAGAATGATCCAAGCTGTGGGCTGGTGTGAGGACTTGGATTACCCCTTGGATTAGCAGACTTGGGGACCTGGGTCTGGGACTCAGTGCCAGGCACAGGGCAAGGGGCACACTCATGAAGCCTGTACCCAGCCCAAAGCCACAGCAGAGCAGTCAGCCTCCAGGAGGCCCCTGAGGCAGACGGCCTCCTGCCAGGTGGCTGGGCGGGCCTCCCAGTGTGTAAGGGGATGTCAGGGGCCCTGCCACCCTGTTCTTCTGGGGCTTCTAGGCAGGGGAAAGACCAAAGCAAAGGCAGCCAGAGCTGGCCCCACGCAGGCTCCCAGGTGAAGCTGTTAGAAGTGTTGTCCTCTGGGATTTGGTTGGACTTTGATCAGTTTTCCTCAGAAAAACAGCCATGAAGCACCTTGCTTTGCTCTGTCAGGCCTCCAGCAGAACACCTCCCTCTGCACAGGCCCAGGCCAGGGACCTGTGTGGAAGCAGGCATGGCAGGCAAATCATGTCACCTCACTGGGCAGTTATAGGTGCCTGCCTGCTTCTCAGAGCTGTGAGCTCCAAGGAAAGGCCAGATGTCAGAATCTGAGAAGCTGGCCACATGAGAGCAGGGAGCACCCTGGTCTGTGTTGGTCTGAACTTTGGTCTCAGAAAATTGTTAAACTCCTCTAGACACACAGATGGCCCGAGTCAGAGTGTGACAAGGGATTTCAGTAACACCTTAGCTACCCCTTTGCTATACAGTGAGGAAACTGAGGCCCAGAGAGGAGCAGCACACACCTTCGATTGCTGGGCAGCTCCAGAGCCCTTAAGGAGCCATTTTCTTTGTCATTTGGGGACCCTCAGCTCCTCTGCCATGCAGAAGTGGCTGCAGTTCTGGTGAAAACCTGCATTTCCTGCCAAGAAAGCCAACTGAAGTGGGCGGTACCGGGAGGCTAAGGCTGAGGTAGAGAGCAGTCGGGCAGTCATATTTATAACAAGGTCACCACAGGAATCCTGCTGCTCCAGGCCGGATGGGATCCTGGGGGCAGCTCCCCCCACCCCCAGCCCACCTCCCTGTGCTTGCGTCCTCTAATGTGGTGATGTCAACCCCCGCCCCCATCCACCAATAGCCTAACCCTACTCTGTCAGGTTGAGACTTGGACTAGTGGGTTCAAATCCTGGCAGGGTGCCCTCCTCTGTAGAAGGAGGAGAAGGTGGCGCCCTTGCAGAGTGATCATGAGGACCAAGTGAGTCCTGTGCGCTGTGAAGAGTAAGAAGCACAGTGCTCCACTCCTGGTCCGTGATGGGTGCTCCACAGTCAGTCCCTCCTTTGGGGGCGTGCAGGCAGCTGTCTGTCTCTCCTGCTAGCATGAAGAGGCAGGGGCCGGGTATGCAGGGTTCTTGTCTGTGCTTCCACAGCACCTAGCACACAACAGGTGCTCTCTGGCTTGCACTCTGTGGCTCATAACCTCTGTTTTCTCCTTTGTGTGAGTGTGTGTGTGTGTGAAAGAGATGTCCTGTTGTGTGCTATATTTCCTGAGGACAACCTGGCACACCGTCGGTGCCCACATGACTGCTGAATGCTGGAAACCTTACCCAGCTCCCACTGTGCAGACAGCAGAGCCCACCTCCGCTCCCCGGTGCCTCCCACCTCCCCACCCCGAATAACGCGGCGGTCCCTGTGCTTGTCCCGCAGACGCCAGCATGTCTCCGGACGCCACCAAGCCGAGCCACTGGTGCAGCGTGGCGTACTGGGAGCACCGGACGCGCGTGGGCCGCCTCTACGCGGTGTACGACCAGGCCGTCAGCATCTTCTACGACCTACCTCAGGGCAGCGGCTTCTGCCTGGGCCAGCTCAACCTGGAGCAGCGCAGCGAGTCGGTGCGGCGAACGCGCAGCAAGATCGGCTTCGGCATCCTGCTCAGCAAGGAGCCCGACGGCGTGTGGGCCTACAACCGCGGCGAGCACCCCATCTTCGTCAACTCCCCGACGCTGGACGCGCCCG